ACTAGGAATACATCCTGCTTTTAGACATGCACTTTCACTATAGAGTCTTGACTCAAGGTTATTATTCATTTAGCCATTAAGAAGACTGACTGATATTATCTAATATGGAGATATAAACAATTCAGCACTTTTATCTGATAAGGTTCAAAATATTCCTTAACCATTTATTTCCTGAGACCTAAAGCCCAGTTTGCTTGCTAATTTGCATGCCCTATTTTCACACATGGTTGCTTGGTAAGATATGTAAATATGAAATATTCATTCACAAATGCACACCTTCAAATGCACCTGTTGCCTCTGCAGCTGCGGCACAATGACGATCCTGGGAAGCAATGATTGCACGAGACGTCTGTCAGTGAGCTGAGTGTGCTTTATTGTCCAATTACACATAATCTGTTTGTCCACATCAGGACACAAGCCCAGTTCCCAGGCCTCAGGGACAAAAGACAAACACGACAACTGCTGGCCCACCCTCGCTATATTTGCTCCATGTGCACAGAGCCCAGAAGATGCTCTTTTCACATCATCCCATTATCTGATACCCACAAAAAATGTTGTTTAAATAAGATTAAGTGTTTTTGTCTTTTAGGTTAGCAAGTATATTATGCATCTTAATATACAATTGGCTGTTTACATAAACATACCCTAAATGTTTAAAGAAATATGCTAACGCTACCGAAGATTTTGTATTGTTTTGTTCTGTTTCTCTTCTGTTTGTTCTTTCAGTGTTAACTGTATTACATTTATCACAAATTGCTGATGAAGCAACCAAAAAAGGTCCTCTGCAGAGACAGCGGCAGTTGGACTCTTCATGTTAGATCTTCTGCCTACATTTTGTAAGCCTCTGTTGTGTGTTACCAGTCATTTAAAGTTGGCCACACTCACCCAACAGTGTCATAGTGTGGTCATCCGAACACAACATCCTTCAAAAACATTTGTAACTAGGGATGGGTATCGTTCAGGTTTTATTCAATACCGGTGCCAAACCGGTACTTTTGAAACTGTGCTTAAACGGTGCTCGAACCGGTGCTTAAAGAATGGAGAACACAAACTTTGTCCAAAAACCTCTCGTGTTTAGCTGTTTTTTTGTAAAACGATAACAATGTTAGCCTTTTCTGCAGCTATTGGGTATATATGGTATCACTCTTGGCTAGAAGCCGTGCTTAAACAATGGAAAAAACAAACTTTGTCCAAAAACCTTTCATGTTTAACTGTTTTGCAATTTTTAGCCATTTTAGCCTTTTTGGCCAGGGTGAAGGGAGCATCTGCCATCAAACAAGAAGACAGCCGCATGTAACTACGACGGTGTTTGCCAGTTCACCTTACATGCATTAATGTAATAACGTGGTTAGCCTACTCAATGTAATTTACACATGAACAACATTAAGCTACTCACCCAGAGAAGAACGGCTGCTGCTGCCATCATCATCCGTCATCATTTCTGCTACACAGGTGTTACCTCCTTTGCGCAGTATCACCTTAAAGCACTTGTTGCAGGCTGCTGAATTTACTTCTTTTGCTGTGAAGTACAGCCAGACTTTGACCGCTTCACCTTGGTCATTTTTAATCTGTAGCTCTGCTCTAAAAGAACGTACCTGGGCCCACCTACTATCCTTGGAAAGATAAAATGATTGGCTAGAATCCAAAGTGTATGACATCTCAAGGGGAAAAAAGCACCGAAATGTGCGCTACTTGTCACGATGAGTTGTATGGCTGTCAGTGGCTGGACCCACGTGTAGGACTCGGAGACAAAACATTAACTTAAACGACGGCTTTATTTGCTGGAGAGTCACCCTTGGGCGATACATAAACAACAACTTAAACTAACTAGACAGGAGATGCTGAAGGGAGACACCCATGGATACACACACAACAAACGTGGAGGACTCAACAACTGGCAGGGAAAAACACAGGGCTTAAATACATACTGAGGTGATTAGGGAATGTGAAACAGGAGGAGAGCACAGCTGGGACTCATCAGATATGACAAGACAAGGGGAGGCAAAACTCAACATATTGACATAGTACACAAACTTTCAAAGTAAAACAGGAAACTGAACAGACGTGGACTAAACTAGGGGATACAGTGACAGAAATCAAACCCAAGAGAATCAAAACACATCATGAAATCAAAGATAACTAATACAAACAGAAAAACACTGAGTCCACAGACTCAGGACCGTGACACTACTTTTCAGTCTGGTTACTACCGTTCACGTTCTCACGTTCTTAGAGTTTTTAGAAAACATTTCAATAACATCACCTTGTAACATTCCCAAAACGTTCCCAAATGGTTAATATGTAGACGTTTATTATTTATATTAATTATATTTATTATTTATTATTTGGCAGACATTTAGGAGAAATTCAGAACAGTCTGAAAATCTTTAGGGCAGCAGTAATATAAAACATCCCTCCTGTGTGTCCACACTGGATTGAGATAACATTTACAGTGCCTTTAGTGACATTATGTTTTTGCTTCTCTGTTGTTCTCAAGGAAATAAATGCACTCTTTCTGCCCATATAATAACCAAAATGGAACATTCTACTAAAATCATACAGGAAACTGGGAGTTACAACCATTTCACGATCATAATGTAACCTTTTAATAACATCCTTGATGTTTTGTGAGGGTTCAGGACATTTGTTACAAGTTACAGCCCCCTTTTTTCCAGCCTGCGTCATGCAATTTACTGAAAAAGAGAGGGTCTTGGTGAGATGAAACAGAGTACTGTAAGTGTAACAATACAATGTCTGTTGTTGTTCCATAATAGGAACAATGTGCCATGGTAAACAACACTTGACCTCGAGGGTAGAATCAATACTCACCTCTTTCACAAGACATCATGTCATTCAGCCAAAAACGCTGCCTGGCCAGCCAGATAGCCAAAGCAACAGATGTCTCCATCAAGCCAAAAGAGTTTATCTGCACACAGTTCCTTCCTTTTTATTGTAACATCATGAATATTCACCAATACAAAAGCCACTGCAAGTTAAAATCAACTTTCGAATACACTGTTATTTATTCTTTTACCATTTGCACAAAGCGGACACAACATATCATGAAATGTATACACCTGGATGCAGTCGGTTTATATACTTCACACCACGTAAACTTTACATAACCACCTTTAAGAGAAGAGAAAAAGAAACATACTCAGTTGAGCCTTTTAAAGAATACATTCAGACAGAACCACTTTGGTCCAGGAAAGGGAGTGACCCAAGCTCCTAACTTTAAATGCAAACATGGTTATGGTCACAGCTTAAAATACATGTAGTAGCTTGAAGCTAAATTAGGATATAGCTCTACTGAATCCTATTTTCTTTGACGTGTACAACATTCCTTTATTACTTTGTGAAATGTCTACAAAACAATGAAAAAAAGATCTAAAAAAAACACTGCAAAGATACTTGTGGCAGGACCACGATCGATGTACTTCCCAGCAAAAACGTGGCTGTCTACCTGCTCTATTACTATCCTCAGCAGATGTTGATGAAAAATAACTTCAGCCTGCAATTTTTTCCCACCTCAACAGAAGGAACTGACTGAAGTGTTAATGCACAGAGTCTTGATCTGAATGAGAAACACGTTGCCGCTGTGGGCTACAAAATGGCACTGAGGAATCACAATGAGAGTAGTTTCCATAATAAAACAGAGAGCTGTGTCTACTTCTTGCCTTATACAGGCATGGTGTTTGGGAATGTCCTGTGGTGCTTTACTGTATATGCTAGAGGGAGACTGACTCATACTAACCTCTGACCTCTGTGCTCTATGTCAAGCCACTTGCACTGGTTTCTATCAAACCTTTGCCAGCAGCCCATTATTCATCTTACATCCACAAATCTGGAATACTGAAACTACACACATTCATACCCTGAAAATACACACTACCCACTCAAAGACATGCGTGGGAAATATGGACTGCAATCAAATAAAATCACCTGTATAAACACATATATAGAGAGACATAGTATCTACCAATTATAATTTAACATTGTGCAAATAGATACATATAAAGTCAAGTTCAGTTAGTTCTGGCAAAAGGTTTCAGCAATTCAGATATTCATTTCTGCTCTGCAGGTTGCTTCCCTTCTTTGAAAATAAATGCTATCAGACACAAATGTACCACTGTCTGATTAGCTTTGTTTGCCACTCCAAAGCATGCTTGTTCAGCTTTTGTGGTGCAGAGTTTTGTTCAAAAGTGTTCACAGCCACTGCAGACATGGTACGCATTAGACTCTGTTGGTATGGTTACTTGGCGAATCCAGTCACTAGCAGTTATTAGCAAAGACGTTTTCGTCTGACACGATGGCACCGTAGAGTGATTATTCACACAACTCTTAAGTTAAGCTTGCAAATTTACGCAGTCTTCATGCATGAAGTCCCAAGACCGTCCTCGTGCCAGAGGTGACGCGCCATATTTAGGAACGATGCTGGAGTCACACCTTTACAGGCCGTAAAGGTCTGTGTATTTTTATCCTTGATTGGATAACCACCCTGGATTCAGGGGCGAGGCATGTCATTCAGACAACATCTTGATGGCAAAAGGTAGAAAAGGAAATGCGTGTAGTGGCAAAGGAATTCGACTATCACCTTAAAACATACACGGCAAGTTTAAACAGCTGCAACAATAGCAATCAGCAGTATTCAACTAATATAAAAAAGATGTATTTTAATCTAAAAGACATAAGAAAGTCAAGTGATGATGATTTTAGCTTATTTATAATTGATCCTATACCATCGCTTGACCTCCTTTAATGTCCACACGCAAGACGAGAAGGACCTGGGGACAGCAGCTGCCAGTTTCCCATGAGCCCTGAATGAGGTCACTTGAACAACACTGTGGTCACCATATTGTTTGAGGTATAGTCAACAGAATTTTTCTTTTTTTTCTGCACATTTTCATCTAAATCACATAGACAGGAAA